CAAGAAGTTAAGGAAAAGATTCATTTTTCTAAAGTTACTGAAAACTATCTTTTTTACCACCTTTACACAATGCTTACTTTTCTCTGCAGCTTTCTACATGGCTCCTCACATATTATCTTAAGTATTTTGAGATAGTAGAAACACGTCTACAATAACTGAACACAATTTTTGAAACACTGCGGTATCTTACCTAAACCTGATGATGAAGAAACACTTCCTGTAATGGACGATGTTTCAGTTTGGTCTGTCAATAGTCCTTCCATTAAAGGTAAAGATAATTCAGATGAAGGAACTGATGAATCATAGATTCCAGAATCTCGGGGCATATCTTTAAGATTTGAAGCTTTAACAACATGTAACAATGGCTGAAGAAAAGAGCTGCCACCACCCTGAATGGCCTGAGTTTCTGTATCTTCTCCAAGGTTTAAGTGCTGAATTATACAGTGAGAGTCTGCATTCCCTGCTGAAATAATGTTTACATCTGTTTTCAGGTAAAAATCACCATCCATCATCTGTTTATTTACTAAGTCATTTAAAACCAAGCCTGAATCAAATTTTTCCATGACAGGCTCCGAGTAATGTAAAGAAGGTGGAGGGAAGGGAATAAACTGTTTCTCAAACCAATCTGGTTCCTGATCAATGAACTGATGCATATTGCAAATGGCAACATAAAGGGACCTCCCAGATTTGCTCCTGAAATAATTCCTTTTACTAATGTTAACAGGAAACACCTCTGAATCCTGTACACTAAGATCTCTGGAGTGTAAATGCGAATACAGCTGAGGGAGATTGTCCATGAGCTTGTATTTTGTACTCAGATCCAGAATACCAGGGATGTCTCCTTCACAGGAGTAATCAAAGTAGACTGCAATGAACTTGCAGAGGTCATCTGAATTCTGCTTTGCTTGACGAAGCTTCTCTGCCACAGTGAATACAGCAAACAGAAAGAGTTCTCCTTTTCCTGCATCTTTGGTTACCCCTCTGTGTTTCCAGTTCTTTTTTTCAACGAAGTATTTCATTCCCTTGGAACATACAATGATGATAAACTGGGACTCATTTATTTTTTTAATAAGCCACTCTTTCTGACCTTCTTTACAGATTTTTAGATCTTCCCACAAATCTAGAGCCACCTGGAAAAGAAAAGAACATTATGGTTGTTCTTCACTATTAGATATATTTGCTAATAAAATTTAAATGAGTTCTACTCAGTGACTCAGCTTGTATTTATCCAACAATCGAGAATTAACGATGAGTTTAACTATAGCTTGTCCCTGATGCAAATACAAGCTGTTTTAAAACAGAAATAAGTAATAATCAACACTTTGATTATTGATAGTGGACAAACTGGAATCAGTGACACTATGTAAGTAGTTACTCACCAAAACAAGCAAGGCCTCACACTCATTCTGAACTTTACTTGTGGGCTATTTCACTGGGCTAAGGAAGTGGGTGAATTGCTAAGTAAAAAGGAAGACCTTCCAGACACTTTTTTTTTTTTTAAGAATGCTAGTTACTGTATGAACTCATTTTACTGCTTATTTTTTACTTAAATAAAAACACACCTAACTATACCTGTGTTACACATAAATTTATGGAATCAACAAGTAACAGGGCAAAGCCAAGTAGCTGAACGTAAACTGGGTAGTTCCTTAAAAAATAAAACTAGTATGGATTTGGTACACAGCAATTTCTCAGGGAATAAAAAACACAGAGGCTGGACCAAGTAAATTACTATTTACTTATCTGATCAGATTAGATATCATCAATTCACAATAAACAATGCATTGTGCCTGCCTCAAACAATCTAACTGTTGTGTACTTGGGTCCTTAATGTGCTGAATGTAATGGAAATCCACATTCATTTATCATCTTTTGCATAGTAATGAAGTCGTCAAGAATTTTTGTATCTAGATACAAACATAATTAGTGCCTACAACACTGGGTTCTTTCAGTTAGGATGCAAAACAGCAGCAGCTTATCTCTGATAAGAAAGCTCTGAAAATTTTATCATAAGTGTTGTTTTATTTTCTACTTTGTCAAATTTTTGAACATTCTACATGGTCTGAAATGCCTACGTACACCAAGATGAAGGAAACAATGCTTGATCTCATGAAAGAAAGAATGAGGAGTAGAATAACAGAAAAAAATAGATGCAAAAAAACTTTCATAATAAACACACATCAAAATACACACATTTGTAAAGCCTTCTCGAGGGATTTTATCCAGGGAACAAAGTATTTCTGCTCTCTACTGTTTCACTGACAAGAGAGTGTAAAACTTTGCCATACCAGACGACAAGGAGTAGGTGGATGCCTAGAACACAAGGACTCATGAAAACTGTTACTGCATGGTTAGCTAGAGGAAGAAAGTGGTCAGGCAGCTGGACCAGACAGTCACTGTAGGTCCCTTCTGCCTGACTATTCTATTCTATGCATGTGGAAGAAGAGTCATTTTACAGCTGCTTGGGAGATTCTCTCATAAAGGTACAATTGTGTCTGGTTTTGTTTCCGTTCTTCAAAATACTGTCTAATCTCCTATCTGTGAAAGGATTCTTAGTATGGTCAAGTTGTTATTTTAAATGGCTATTAAATGCCACTGGTTTTGTCCTTTATGAGAAAACATTCCCATTCCATGTGAAAAAAAAGTTGTGCAACTGTTATGTATTGAGCATCACTTTTATATTAAACTCCACAGCTTTAATAATAACACATATTATTTCTGTATGTAGGTGCTATCAATATTTTGTTATATAAATCCTAAATGATGCCTGATACCACACATTCCATGGTACATAGTTACAGTGGTAACAGCTCACCTTGACACTATTCCAAAGAGCTAAAGTACATCTCTAAAAAGGGAATTCAAGTAAGTTACTTATAAAACACCTTACCTGTACTATTTTAAAACTATGACTAAATTGTCAACATCCCCAAACGTGTGAGGCACCGATGGTGTGACTGTGTTTGGCCTCTAGAGGTCAGACTTGCTGTATAGTTGGACAAACAGTTGCTGTTCACACATTTAAAATCACGGTAGCAGAATTAAAATGCAGTAAAAATAGACTAACAATTGTCTTGCCTTTCTGTAGTTGAAGAGTGAAAGACTGGCCACATATTGAATATATTTTAGAAAGCAGTCTGAGATTCTAAGCCTAGTCATTCACGTAACAATTTGAAAGTCTTTCTTATAGCTTTAAATCAAAAAACAAGAAAAAGAAACGCTGATTTTACAGCATTAATGGAATAAATGGAATGGGAAAAAAAAATAATACATAGTGTCAACAATTAAATCCTAATTACACAGATTTTGCTCTGTAAGTAAGAGTTTCGATAGATTCAACTACTTTAAAATTACAATATAAAGTATTTTTTAGGAATACCGAAGTATATCGGGTAGACATCAATACCTCTCTGTGGCTGCTGACTACGAGGAGGCAAGACACACTAACCAGAAAAAGCAGCTAATACAAAACAAGCTAAACATGGCTGAATGAAAGTCCTGGGATCAATGCAGTACACATTTTCCACTATTCTGTGTTTTGATGCAGGCTACAATCTGTTCCTTTCCTTAAGTAAAGAAAATTCATATAGCAAATATTTAAGAAAATAACACAAGTTATCTCTGTGGAAAGGAAAAATCGAAATACCTCATTTTCAAGCACATATTATTTTGAGGTTTGGGGGTGCTGTTTCAATTAAGGAAACTGTTTACAGAAGAAATGTTGCATTTACCTCACAGCCGCAAAAGTCCTGAAGAAAATAAGCAAAGCATTGGATGACATTCATGTGTTTCTGGCAATCTTTACTGGAATAGCAGATGAACACTTTTGGCCGGGGACGAAGTCTTTCCACATGGAGACCTGCAGCATATGCTGAAGATTCTGAGCTCTCCTCATCTAGATGGGAATATATATTTTCTAAATTGGAAGAGAGAAAGAGAGTTCACGCTACAAAGCTTGGTTTTGTATTGTTTTTTTTTAAAAAAACTTTTGTAGGCTCATTACTAATGCATACAGTAATGAGGTTTTTTTCAAAAGATACTTCTTTGCTTTCCAGACTGAAAAAAGGAAGTTGCACACACCTTATTTATCCAGCTTATGAGTTGCTACATATGTGGAAAACACTTTGAAAGTGAAACGTGCAGTTATTACTGTACAACTCGGAAAACTTAAGACAGGTTTATTTCATAAATAGAGTAAGGTTGTTTCACCTGTATCCAGCTTCAACAGTCTCCACCTCTCTGTTCAAGTATTATAAGCCTGAAAGACGTATCGTCATCAAGAGTTTCCTGTACAACAACATCTCTCATTTAAAAAAAAAAAAACCAACTACACCACAAGCCAGGTAAGAAGGAACACGCAACCCTTCAGAATATCACACAGCATCTCTCTGGTGTGTATATATATATATATATATATATACACACACACACATGTTTGGACATTAATTTGACATTAATTTGAATTAAGATATGATTAATTTAAATCAAAATAGCTATTAGTGTTTCTTTCCTTGTATAGATGCTTTTATGCTGGAACATAAAAGTCTGGCCTTACGCCAGACTAAGTCATTCTAGTTCTACAGCTGATTAAGCTAATTTGGAATAAAGCATGAGTATTTCAAAATACAAATACCCATCTAGGGATTTAATTTAGAACACTTCATCAGGAATAACTATTCTGGAACAACTCTCTCTGTAGATAAAGCCTTAGTGATTTGTCCGGGTTTTTTGTTGGAACTATGCTAGCTGTAGGCAAAGGGATAGCACAGAAGACCAGAAGGTAAAAGGATTTAACCCAGATGGCATATAGCACTTGCAGTATACCTCAATGCCAAAATTTGGATGGATTACACAGATACGTGAGGTTTGGGGAAGTAATCTCTTTTTCCATATTAATGAAACTGCAGGATTCCCTAGATTCTACAAAAAATGCCAATTGATTTTTAACATCTCAATATAATGAGTGTGGCTGGCCAGCTCCTGGACACAGAGGAGAGAAGCCAGCAAAGAGGGATGGAATCTGATTTAGAGAAACATCTGCAAGTAAGTCTTAGAAACAGTAAATTTAGGAAGATGGCTTAGGATGAAGTTTAAACGCAGCTTCCAGGAAAGTGAGCAAATCTGGAATAAAAGATAGAGCTAGTATTCCAGACAGTGCTGAGAATTGTATTGGTATCACATGGCTTTACTTTCCTTCTGGTTTAAAATAAATATGGATGAGACATTTCTGAACAAAATGAGGAAATGTTTAAAATATATCCTTTTACAGATCTGTTTGTATTCTACTTGGTCATGTAGTACTTTCACAAATAAAAAGAAACCTGAAACCAAAAATATTTCCCAACAGCAAGTTTGTTCTCTCCTTTCTACAGTAAAGACTTGATTTGTGATACAATACTTTCCACAGCAATAAGTTACCATCAAGCACTTATTAAGAATTTGCCACAAGTTTCAACACACAAAAAAGCTGTGGGGAAGAAGCAGAGAGAAGTAGAAAAGAAAGCTCTTCAGATACAGCTACTTCTGGAATAAACCTACCAGTTAAGACTTTTTTGGTTGCAAAAGCGCATCTTTAAATGGAACTCGGTATTGAATACCCCTCTTACCTTGCTGTTTCTTGCGGCACATCACTGTGAAAAGCGTTGCAAATGCTGAAATGACAACTAAAGGGACTGTAATGGCAACAGCTCTTATCGGTCCAGCCCATGGAGAATGTACTTTGAAAAACAAAGCAGAATTAGCCATATGCAAATAAGCTGTATTATAATTATCTAATCAAATCTTCACACTGTGAATGTAATATTACTGCAGTACACTATTATTGGGTAATTCTCAAATATACAGTAGAATGAAACATCATGTTCTGCTCCATTTTAAATACGGTTTATGCTGATTGTCCCTATCACCACAGCATTAGATGACTAACATAAATAAAAAGTGCTGCGTGCCAACCCAAACCTCCAGCCACAAGAACAACTTTACATGAGGTGTAGTTTTGGTAAGATATGCAATAGTCGTTTGGACCTGACAGATTTTTGTTCCAGCGTGCTGAATCAGCCACTTAGAAAGAACTGTCTTCCCACACAGATTACCTTTAGCACGGTGCATTAGGATTCAGGCCATTTTGCCTGCTGCCTTCATCTGTGGCTATGTTTTGTGTCTGCAGTTACATTCCGAAATCCCTATTTAGCTTCTCAATGACTGATACACGGACATGCTAAGCATTCACCTGACAGGTTTTCCAGACTGCTTCATTTGATTTCAGGGCTGAATACCCAGGCAGATAATGTGTTTAGGCTGCTCTCACAGTTTCATTACATTATTTCCACGCTACTGCATGCATCAGTTGTGTGCAATTAAGATACAGGCTATGACTCTTCATATCCATATATACAACAAAAGTGACTTTCCAACAAAGATTTCCAATGATATATTGATCTAAACTGTACTAAATATAAAAGTACAGAGATGCAGATGTGTATGTACAAGTGTGCATGTTTTCATTGGGGTTAAAAAAAAAATCCCAGCACAACTGCCTCAGTAGTCTTGATTATGGCAAACAGACACAGGTTAAATCGAGACATTTCCAACATAATTAAAACTGAATCAAAATACTGTATACTATTTAAAAAACAAAATTCATACCTGGTTTTAGTGCATAGTGCATTGTTTTCCTTGTTGTGTTAGTATCATCAACCAGCTTTGAAAAATAGAAGTTGAATTTTATTTTGTGAAAATTTATTTTTTTTATTTTCTGCAAAATGTAAATAACTACAACAGCTTTCATGACCAAATGCAAAGAAATATACTGTTCAAAAAGTTAAAATTAAAGAGCATCACAAACTAGTAATTAGCGAAATAATTTGTCTTTCTTGGTACTTAATGTTGTAATACTAACTTTAAGTTCACATACTGTCATCATCAACTGAAATGCACAACTTTTAAGGACAGTAAAAATTGACAAACTACAAAATTCCAATTAAAAAAAATTAAAAAATTCAAAGTCCAAGAATTACGCAGGACCACAACTTTGCTTGAAGGCACAGATGAAACTGCTATGCACTCAGGGAAGCAAAGCTCTGGAAAGGTCAAGAACAATTTGTCTAAAAACCTTTACTTGCCCAAGGTACTTCAGTAGGGATGCCTGAAGTCCAGTTTTACCAGTGTGACCTGAAATACTTCAATTAATTTCTCCATTAACATACTAATTTAGCTGTTGTAAAATAACTATTTATAAATATTACCTCGATTATATAATCCCCTGGAGATACATTCTGAAGAATACAACTTGTAGTATCTGTGTTTTGCTCCTAGACCAAAGAAAGAGAATACTTTGCAAGTCGTTCACACACTCTTAAGAATTTATAAAAAATACATTTGCATTGATTTAGAACTATACAGTGCCCTCCTGTATTAAGACACCTTAAACCAGCAAAACTAAGTCTTGTCATGCAAATACGCAAGGATTACAATCCTCTGCCTACAGAACTGAAGTATGATTAATTATTAAAAAAAAAAAAAAAAATCTTAAAAGTTTGGTCTAATACACAAATTCTTCATTATGCCCTGAAGCCCTCTAGCTTTCAGAAACTTCAAATTAAAGGTTCACCACTGACTAACCAATGTTAAGGAAAATAATACAGCAAATTGCAGCTCCTATAAGACAATTTAGGCACACAGCTGTACAAAAATCACAGAGAGCCTAATTCCATGCACATACTCAAACGAGAGCTATTTTGTGATACCACCTCAGCTGGGTCACCTATAAAGTGGTTAAATTTGGTGCAAAGGTGAAATAAAAAAAAAAGTAGGAAATAATATGTATAACAAACATAATAAAACTGCAGTTTGAAGCACTAATTAGTTGTAGGGTCCTCAAGAGAGGGAACAGTCTCTTCCCATTTGCTTATACTATCCAGCTCCAATGGAGCCGTCAAGCCTGGTTTTGACTGATGACTGCTATCACAATACAAGTATTATTTACATAAATAGGACCAAATAGTTCAAAAATTTTTAAAACTGATAGCATTCTATATTATACTAAGTTTTTAAAGTTCCTATAAAACCTCAAAACATCTAATGTCAATAGGTTTCGTGCTTTTAAGAGTTGCAAAACTCAGCCACGTACCTGTTTGCAGGTCTTTTGCTTAAATGGCCCTTCATGCTTAAGTTTGTAGTGAAGAAAGTAGTATCTAAACCCAAAGTTGTGAGGTGCATGATCAAAGGACACTTGCATGTTAAAACCCTGCTGGGTAACATTCAGATTCCTTGGCTTCCAGTCTGTCAGAGGAGATATTAATGAATTGGAAAAAAAGTGACCCTAGTACAGTAACTTTTTGTAAGATGAACATACAGAAAGTATTACATTTTACTTACAAGGTTTGCAGACAAGGTTTTCTGGCTGTAGCAACAATTCACATGCTACAAATACACACAAAAATTATTAATGATACAGTATCAAAATGCTATGCTATTTAAATAGAAAAAGAATAAGGGCAAAACAGGGAGTTCTTAATTTTGAAGACAATACTCCCATTTCTCTCCCAGTCTCTAATATACCTGGAGTAAATATATTTTGCAAACTTAGCTGCTTTGTTATGATTTCAAGTCCCTTCTCATCTTTATATGAGAAACACAGGTTCATTAATTTGAAAATAGCATTCTGTAGTGAGACAAAAGAAATAGCACCAGGCACAGCACAGCAGAAGAGGAAGTTGAAATTAGCCTTAAACACATTTACTCAGAGTAAATAAGTATGCTAAGCACTATTACAAAGATATATTTACTGCAGTCTGCATCAACAGACAGACTTGAAAATATTTTAAGGAAGTTTTATAGGGCAAAAAACCCTAAGCAGGACAAATATCAACATCTCACCCCAACAGGTACTTGCAGTTTCTCATCATACTATTTAAGCACTGAGGAGCTTATTCAAGTTTCTTCTCTCTAACTCCAACGAGAATTGCTAAGTAATGTTGAGAAATTCAGCTTGTTTGTTGATAACTAGTTTTATATGTACTCATCTATATCTATCTCTAGCTATCTGTTTTTGAAACTGCGAGCTCAAAACCAAAAACAACCTGAGCTTCTTCAAGATGTCCAGGGAGAAGAAGGAGCAAGCCCTCTTCATGAGTCAAATGTTCCTGAGAACCATGGGAATAATCCTGCTGCAGGCAAACCTGAATAATCTCAGGCCTACCTGAGACTTTTCTTCTGGTTGTTGCCTAACACATATTATCATACACCACAGATTTATCTGTGGCATCCAAATTCTTTCCACTTAACACCTAGATCTTCCTTCAAAGACTAGGTCAGTAACTGTCTTAACCCAGACTCAACTAACATTATCATCATCTACACTCCTTTGCTGGGAAAACTAAAAAGGCG